ATAATTGACTTTTTTTTTTTTTTTTTATTTGTTCTTCTTCTCTCAGTAATAGGTTTTTGTCTCCTCATTTTTTGTGATTTTATTTTTGTGATTTTTTATTATTATTTTTTTAAATTTCAGGGTTTCTATTTTTATAAAATTATGTTATATATAACCAAAATGAATAATTTTTTGAAAAACTGAAAAAAAGCTTTTTAGTTTAAATGAGTTTCCATACAATAGAAACACTAGAAACAGCCTATTGTAGTAATGAACAATTAATTAATTCATTAGAACGAATAGAATTGAATGTGAACGTATTTAAAAATAGTCCAAATACTACAGAACTTCCATTAATAAAAAAATTAATCGGATCTGTTGAACCGACAATAATATTTATTATTGATACGTTATTCCCAATTGAGTATCAAAAGAAAATAATACAAAGAATACAATGTATTATTAGGATTTGTCAACACTCAATTGAACAAATTATGATTATTAGTTATAATAATAATAAAATTGAAGTTGAACTATTTTCAAAAGACGAAATTAATCTACTTAAAACAAAAATTCATAAATTATTTAATGAAAACGTTCTTTCATTGAATACGTCAAAAGCTTTCGTTAATAGAGCTCTTAGTTCTTGCGTTCCAATACAAAATAATGGTGGAGATATTTTTGTTATTCATTTTGGTTATCGTAAGGGTGTAGAAAGTCTTAAAGAAAAAAATTGTGTTCCTCACGACTTAGAATATGAAAGAACATTTGATAAAATTGCATTATTGGGATATGACTATTGGTTGTATTTTACTAATAAATATCCTGAACTGAAACAATTGATTGTAGAACGAAGTCATGGTCATATCACAGAAAATAAATGTATTGAGATGACCGAAGATTATATGGTTAATGAAATAAGTGAAAATCTAATAAAACATATTCATCAAATAAGTGGAATAACATTAGTTATTGATAATGACTATTTAAATTATGACACATTATTTAGTGCATTTGGGTGTTGTGAAACAATGAATGTAGAACACCATGAAATAACTATTACTAATGAAAGTAGTTATAATCAAGGAAATTGGGAAGTTAATTCAGGAATAATTGATAACCTTATCCCAATAGAACTTGTTCAATTCAGAGAAATGAAAGGAAGAATTACTGATTTCTATGTTCAACGTATAGAAGTAGAAGCAATTACTAAAAGAATTATTAATGAGGTCAGTGGAATATTAAAAAACCAAATGTTTTCTGTAGATTTTGGTAAAATCTTTATTGGGAGTGATGAGATCCAACCTGGTTCAATATCATTAACTCAATTGAAAAGTCTTTCTAAAGGAATTCCTAAATGGTTTATAAGAAAAAAATATGAAAATGAAGAAATAGAAATGTTTGGATTATTAAAACACAATGTTTTTAAACAAAATACATACCTTGACTCCTTTTTTACTTTTGTAACACATTACTCATTCTTTAGAACAGCTAAACGACTAGTTCTATTTGACTTTGTAGTTAAGACAATTGAAAATAAAAAATTTATTATTAATGACTGTCATATTGTTCATGAAAGTCTTCGTTTTAATCAAATTTTATCAAATGGATTAAAATACAAAGAAGTAATAAACTCATTAAAAAGTCATTCATGTACTGATCTATGTCGGCTAGCCCATTTACCAATTCTTTAAATATACAACTTTAAAAAGTTGTGTTTCATTCTTAGAAATATATTTTAACTCAAACGTAAATATTTTCAAAAAGAAAAAGATAGAATAAGAATATCTTTTTTGGGTATTTTATATCTAAAACATGAAATGATGAATTTTTTATGGTTTCCACACATACTTTTTTCTCTAAAAAAAATAAGAAAAGATAGATGAAGAAGTATTTTTTGCCATGAAACAAAAAATATTTTATAAAAAAAATAAGAAATATTTAATTTGAAATAATAATATAATTAAAAAAAACTATTATGAAAGAAGAAGCAAAATAATACTAGAATTAATAAAAAAATGTTAAGAAGAAACTTATAAGATAAATAAATGACTAACAGCATGAATGAGAAGACAGGTTATATAGAAGATGGTCATTATTATTTTATTACTCGTTCTATGTGCAGTAATGGTGGAGATCCAAAAGTTAATGAATTTATTAGAACACATACTGCTTATGAATGTATAAAAAGAAGATGTGATTCACACCCTGAAGATGACTTTTATGGGTATAGAGAACGAAAGAATGGAAAAGGTTTTGGAAATTATATTTGGTTAAAGAATAAAGTTGTTATTGAACTGATTGATTCTTTTTCTAATGCATTATTATATCAATTCCACCTTAAAAAAGGAGATGCTATTGGATTTATTAGCAGAAATAGGTATGAGTGGTATATCGCTCAATATGCAATGCAAAAGAATGGTATTATTCCAGTTCCATTATATGCTACTTTAGGTGAGAAAGCAATAGATTATATTGTTGACTTAATGAAAATAAATATAGTTATTGGTTCTCTTGATAATACTTTAGTGTCATTGTCTAAGAGAAATCCAACTCTTAAATTTATTTTGTTTGACCATGAAGAAGTAGAAAATCTTATTGCACCTTCAAATACTTTATACTTTGAAGACTTATTAAATATTGGAAGGTCTCATACTGTAGAAAGTATTTTACCAAAAATGGAAGATATTTGTTTGATTGTTTTTACATCTGGAACTTCTGGAACACCAAAAGGAGCTATTCATACATTTTATTCATTTTCTCATGGAATTAATTCTATTAATGAAACTCAAATCTTTACAACAGGGCCAATAAGAAATGAAACAATTTTTTCTTATCTTCCATGTGCCCATGTTCTAGAACAACAAACATCCCAAGGATTTATGTATGGAGGAGGAAGAGTAGGTTTTATTTCAGGAGGAATATCTTCATTGGTAGAGGATTTAAAGTTATGTCAACCAACATATTTCGGTACAGTTCCTCGAGTACTTCAAAGAATTTACGATACGTTTCATCAAAAATATCTTGAAATGGGATGTGTTGTTAAAAGAATATTTGATATAGCTTTTTACTTCAAACTTAATGCTCTTCGATCAAACACAACAACATACATTGATTGGGATAATATCGTCTTTTATAAAATTAAAGAACAATTCGGTGGTAAATTAAAATTTATTTTTAATGGAGGAGCTCCTTTAACTTATGGATTATATGAATGGCTTAGAGTATGTACTGGTGCTTATATTATGCAATCATACGGACTAACTGAATCATGTGGAGGTTGTACAACTTGTTTACCAGGAATGAACGATCCACAAATCTTATCATGTGGAAGTCCTTGTGACAGAGTTAAATTACGTTTAACTAGTGTTCCAGAATTAGAGTATTTTGTAGAAGATAAAGTCCCATGTGGAGAAATAGAATTAAGTGGAGGTCCAATATTTAAAGGATATTACCACAATGACGAAGCAAACAAAGATGCGTTTACTGAAGATGGATATTTTAAAACAGGGGATATTGGTTCTGTTGCTAAAGATGGTTCTTTAATTATTATTGATAGAAAGAAAAATCTATTTAAATTAGCACAAGGAGAGTATATTGCTGTTGAGCCATTAGAAGGTAAATATGACTCTTGTCCATTTGTTTCACAAACATTTATTCATGGAGAAAGTACTGATTCTTTTATTGTAGGAATTATAGTACCAGAATTTAATATAATTAAACCATGGTTAAAAACTAAAGGAATTGAATATAATTCAAAAGAAGATATTATTAAAATATTAAATACATCAATGAAAAAAGATATTTTAGGAGAGATTAATAGTTATGTAAAAGGATTAAATGTTCCAAGTTATGAACTAATTAAAAATGTCTATTTCATTGATGAACCATTTTCAACACAAAATGATCTTCTTACCCCATCATTTAAATTAAAGAGAATGAATTTAAAGAAACATTTTTCAGATCAATTAGAAATATTAAGAAAAGAAATTTTAACTATTCTTTAAATTGAATTTTTATAATATTTTCTCCTTAATTCATTTTTCTTCTTCTTCTTTCTAAAATTGTTGATAAAAAAGAAACCAAACCATTATAAAGAAATTCAACACCAAAAAAAAGCTTACAATCACTGAGAAGGTATTTCCCAATCTTTGCTATTTGCTCGTTTTAATCCAGTAACATTTTCTTTTCTCTAAAATAGTTAGATTTATTTGATTGATTAATTAAAAACTAAAGTTACTCTTTACTTTAAAAAAAGTAATAAAGGCCTCTTTATTAAAGATTACTTTTAAAATGTTATTATTAATTGACAGAAATTACTTTAAACAAACTTTTAACTCTATATGAGTATTAGATGGTTGTTCCCAAACATCATTAATTGTCACAGAACGACTTTGGTCAATAATAGCGTTCGTTAAAAACATACGATTTTGTGTTGCTTCCCAAATTAATACTCTTCCAGTGCTATCTATTATTTGGTACTTATATTCAAATGGCATATTTTTAATATCTAATGCTATTTTCCAATTGTTACTCGAAGTCCAACTCATCTTTGCTCCATGTTCCCACTCACCAAGTTCTTTGCATGAACCAACAACAGCAACTGAATTCCCTGGAGTTGTTTGGTAATTAATATTAAACATGAACTTGGTCATTCTCTATTCGTTTTGAATTTTTTAGTTTTATTTTCTTTTTTTTTTGTTGTTTTTTCTCCTTTCCATTTCTGTGTTTTTTAGGGCATTTAGTGCGGTTTTTTAAATAATTTATTTATGTTAATGAAGCTTTCTTAGTTATCTATTTTAAATGAAATAAACTGTGTTAACGAAACTTATTCATTCAGTCTTCAACATGACGAAAAACATAAATGGTAGATCATTCTTAATGGATTATTTTTATTTAATGAGGCTTTCTTTGTTAAGAAAATCTAATACTTCTCTAAATTATTTCTAAACAATACTATTTCTAGTTAATTGAATAATGAGAAATACTCTGTTAATGATGGGGAATTATTAGTTAATTATAGAAGTCAATTAAACAACAACCAAAATGAATAAATGATATAAAATTAATTGAAAAAATCTTAAATATGATGAAAATTATCATTAAATAATTGAGTAAAAACAAAAGGCATAAATATAAAAATTAATACTTCCATAATTTTTATTCAAATACTAACTATGTGAAGATGAATAGGAATAAAAAAGTAAAAAAGAATATGACAATAAAATTTGATTGAAATTTAAATCAAAATTTATACTTCCAAACAATGAATGAAATAGATTAAATAAAAAACTAAACTATAATAGAAAGGTTATATAAATTTATAATAAAAACAAATGAAATAATAAATAGATATTTATGTAATTGAATGATTAATATTCTTTATTATATGTTAGAGATAGAGTATATACATTATATATAACTTGGTTTATATTAATAATGTTATACTTATATTTTATAAATACTTCATATCATTTACTAATATTTGTACTAAAACTGTTGAAATGATCAACAAAAAAAAACAATACAGAAATTCATTAATTTATCTAAAAGAAAACAATTTAATCTACTTATAATAAAGAATATGATAGTCATGAGGAAATAGAGTATAAAAATGAAATTTATACAATAATTATGTAAAAAATTAAAGCTATAAAAATATGTAATACTAGGACACAAAAATTAGAAGATTCATTTCATTCTGAAAATAATAGCAATATTATAATTTAGTATAAATATTACATCATATGATAAGACATTTTATATAAAGTGATATACTAGAAAATATATTAAAATTTAAAAACTGACTTATGTTAAATTGTTGAAACAATGATAATTAATTAACAAGAATGAATTATTAAATTAGTTGAATAATAGTTATTCTGACAGTAATAATATCAAATGAAATATATTTATAGAATAAAAAGGCCATTATTAGATATATTCATAATTTGATATTATGGATA